AGAAAAAAGGAAGCTAGCTCAAAGCAAGCCACTTCTTACCAGCATGGCTGGCTCAGCTACTTCCTATCCACATGGAGGCATCATAATACCATTTGTCACAGTTAAAGAAAACATCCTGTCATGAAAAGATACAGGGTGAAATCAATCAAATCCCCAGAAGTCAATAGAGCCAGGATTTTGATCCTGGTGTCCATTTGGTGAACTACATCCAGAGCGATCCTAGAGGAAAATCCTTCCTAAGTTCTTTTCTGTTTGCATGATGCCTGTTATGGTTAATGTGTGTCTAGCTCTCTCTCTTGCTGTTATGAGACATCAACATATTCTAGCGTACTTGCTACATTTGCACAGAAGCAGTATTGTATGATGGACTGCGCATGGTGGTGGAAGCCAGGAATGTAAGAATTCTAAACCCTGGTCTGCCAATGACTTGCTGTGTTGTATTGGAACATTCATGTAACATCTTTGTTTCATAATTGTGAAATGGGAATAATAATCTTTACTCACCTACTTCACAGGGAAGTTGGGAGAATACAGTAGTTCATGTTTGTTCAGCACTTTGGAATATAAAGCCCTGTCTAAATCTTAAGAATTACTACTACAAATTGTCGTTTTTATTCATTCTCATGTCATTCATCTTGTCTTCTATCATTTTCTCCGTGAGGTTTTCTGGTTGTTATTTTGTTTATTTCACTGTGATTATTTTAATATTAGATTGGATTACAGAGTGTTTATATCAAATAATATATCTGAATTATCAATTTAGATGTTGGGTGATAGCTTTCCCCCCAAATCTATCTGTATTTTACAACGTTTAGAATAGATCTAGCTACCACTGACATCAATAGAGCAGGAACAAGCCCTATTTCTTTTTTCTTTGAGTATTCTACTTCCCTATATTCCATCCAAAAAATCTAACTACAGCAACTGTAAGCACCCATCACTGCAGTATCTGGGCACTTCAAAATCTCTCTGACTTTACTGAATGTTGAACATTACATAAGAAAATGAATATTTTTTTTTCAGAAAGGAAGACAAACATGAATGATCATATATTGTTTACAATGCTGTTGCAGCCATGTTGGCTCCAGGATATTGGAGACAAGGTGGGTGAAGTAATATCTTTTACTGGACCAACTTCTGTTGGTGGAGGGAACCAGCTTTCCATAGGCTCAAAAGCTTGTTCCAACCATGAACAGAAATTTGTCAAGTAAAAGATATTATCTCACCCACCTTGTATCTCTCATGAATTATGAAGTGAATCCAGATTAAAATTAGAAAGAGACAAACTAAATTAGACAAAGTTAATTTGGAACTATGCACCTGACTGAACAATTTTCTTCACAATTTCTTTGCTGCTGTGGTGCTATAGTTATGGCACATACATCCCCCAAAAAACAATTTCAATAATAAGGACAAAATCATTGGTTGCCTTATGTGCCTGTTCAGGGGAGTGAGTGGAGAGAAAATGTCCCCCTTCTCTTTTGCATGGGCTAAATGCTTCAGAGTACAGTGCAGAAAACAGCCTCTGGAGGGCCAATATCCCTGGGGCAAAAGTGGGGACTGGATGGAGCCGTGATGCCACGCACCCTCAATGTGCCTGCTGGTGCAGTTGCATTTACGCAGAAGAGGGGGTAGTAATCTGCTACTGATATAAACAAGTGGGGATCCAGGAAATGAATTGTGACTCTCAGTCACAATTTGTTCCAGGGTCTACTCCTGGGGCAGCCCAGCTATATGCTGCCCTTTGCTCACGACAGATTGTAAGGTCACAGTCAAGCCTTATTCCTTATGAAAAAATATCACTTCTCTCCTGCTTGGCTTAAGTGTGGAAGCAATAATTTGTGCATAAAAATGTGCCATTTCAATCCAACTATCTCAGATGTTTTGATTTCAATTCATTAGATAGCTGCAATATGTTATCACAATGAATGCAGAGGAGCAACTTCCTGTATCCCTTCTTTCAGAGTAGCAGCCGTGTTAGTCTGCTTATGCTCTAATAAATTTGTTAGTCTCTAAGGTGCCACAAGTACTCCTATTGTATCCCTTCTGTATTTGTTCATTCTCATCTAACTGTTGAAATGTCAAGGACCTGAAACTTTCAAAATTACAGCTGGGTTCATTTTACTGCCCTGAAAATACTGAAAATGAGTGCAGTTCAGTGACTGTGATGCCTTCAGAAACAACCATTGAAAAAGCTGGTTGCTATGCAACCTACAGTATTGTCTGTGTTACCCTCACCAACAGATGACATGTTGTATAAAATAAAATAATCCTCTTTAAAAAAACAATACAGTGAAAGGCTGTTGGGGGTGGGCGGTACCTGCAATAACTCACAACTGTGTCAGAACCTCAAAGGAAAAACAGCGCATCACTCATCCATGCCCCATGTATTATGGAACCCCAATGTAAAGATTATGATTATTTATCAGGCTGGTGATCTATATACCAAATTGCTCAGAATGAAGCAAACAAGCCTCAAGGTACCCACTGGAAGGTTTCTAAAGCAATACTTACTCAAACAAGATTCTGTGGTGATATTTTCACACAGTGAAGCCAAACAGGCCATTTTACTCTTGGATTGTTTCAGCTTGTGCACATCCCTTTAGTTCTAAAACTGCTTCTGCCGGCACAAGATTCGAGGCCTCTTCCTCCCCCCCCCGCGCACAGAACAGATAGAGCAGGCAGGGGCAGTACAATGTCCTTTCCCTGACAACCCTACTCTGAAGAGAAATCTGGGCCTGGTTCCCACTTACACTAAGACTCCTTTATGCCACTCTGGCTAGGTAACGGGACCTATGAGCAGGGGGTAGATTATAATTATAATTATATAAAATTACACTCATTTAAAGCCCCCTTTACACTTCCAGAATGGTGCAAAGAGGCTGGAGTGTAAATGAGAATCAGGCCCAAAACCTCTAGAAGGGAGAGGGGAGCTCCGTCTCGATGCTCCTTCCGGATCGGATTCTGATACCCGAATGCTACCTTACTCCACATATAATTCTGCTGAAGTCAGTGGGGCTACTCGCAGACTCAGATGCTACCCATTGGGTATCAGAATCCAGCTCCAGGTTACTCACTACTGCGCCTGCTAACTGCAATGGTCATGTTTGTAATGTGATCGTATGCCCATTGCAAACTTGACTGCTCCTTTCACACAGGCCAAACAGTCAATATGGAGTGAATGTTTTCATCCTCTGCTAACCTAGTTGGGATGCAAATTAGTAACAGAAGCACACTGCTTTCTATACAAGTCTGCAGTATCGGTGAGATGCAAATTATTAATGAACAATATTTTTTGTTTAGATTTTTTCCCTCTTTCCTTCTTGAAAAACAATCCACCCTCTCCTTGGAATGCAAACAAGAATCTGAAATTGGGATCTACTGTACTTACTGTATTTCAGCAGATAAACCAGCAGAAGTTATAAGATATCAGATTATTATAGATGTATAACTATACAGAGATAGACATAGCAATGCATACATTTAATAAATGGGCATTATAAAACAAGGCAACTGATTGATTGATAAAGGTTCCAGCTGCCACCACCCCAACTTGAGAATTATTAGCCTGTTTACACTCTCTCAATTATTATCCATATAGCAATTATTAAGTTATTTCCCCTATTTTAACCCAACTTTCTAAATATATACACTATGAATGCTGGACCATAGAATGGCTGATACAAACACTTTCCCCACATTCTACTCCTTATCTTAGCATTTATATATCACTTTATATCTCCAAAGCACATCACCCTGTGAGGCGGGCAAGAAAGTATTACGATCCTCAATTTACAGATGAGGCAGCTCAGACAGAAAGGTCAATTGACTAAGCCAAGGCCACGTGGTGAGTCAGTGGTAGAGCCTGGATTAGAACTCAGGGCCTCCTGACTCTCAGCAAAGAGCTGGTGTTGTGCCAAATCTTCAGCTACTACTCAGCATAAGTCTGTTGACTTCACTGGAGCTACACCCATTTATACCAGCTGAACTGACTCTCTATTGTTTATGGATACCATTTAGGCCACTTGCATGTCTAAATACTTAGCTGTCTCTGCAAATCAGATACAGTTCATGAATGTCCAAATGACAGTAACTGTAGTCGCAAAAAGGCAAGCTAGATCATAAAAATATTTTCACTTGAATAGTTGCAGGTGCTGCGGTACCTAAGAGGTATTGGTAGCGCTTGTCCTCATTCATTGAATGTTATAAGCACCCTTATAACTCTCCTCCAGTTTCCAAAGAATTAGAAGTTGCTCAGGCAAAACTGGGGTAAAAGTACTAAAGGCTTTAAAGTAATCCCACTTTCAAAATCACTCATCATTTCAATGTTCTTTACAGGAGTGTTGCCTGTAAACTGACCCATTCCACAGAAACAGCAACAGAATAGTAAAAATAAAAAAACCTTGTAATACTTAATTTTGATTTGATTCTGCAAAGTGCAAGGCACTCTGGCCCCAATCCAGCAAAGCAAATGCTTAACTTTAAACATGTGTCGTCCAACTTGAGTTAAGCACAAGCTTAAGGGATTTGCTGGATCAGAGCCATTGTGCTCAGCAAAATGGATCCCACAATATACTTATATATGGTAATATAACTGTACACACAGTTATATGTCACTGCTTATGCATGTATAACATACACAGTATATATATCACATCCCCTCTAGTGGCTAAAAGGGTCATTACCCATAAAATTTGCCACAAGTTCTCTAAAACAAACTTGAAATAATACTGCCAAAGCAAAGTGGTAACTTAAAGTGACATAATAAGAGAAAACACAACAGGAAATTTTATGTTACAGTTATTTGTCAACATGCATTTCATATAATAAACAAACAAGTGTAGATGTAAATTACATATTATACATTAATGCTATATTAATAGACACATGGACAATGAACCAATTAAAATAGAGTAGTATATGTCACAAATGAATTACACAGTCCATTAAAAGAATCCTGGGAACATCTAGATCCATTATTAAAATTAGCCTTTACTTACTTTCCCATAGCTCAGCAAGACTATCCTCACCAAGACAACATTAATGTGGGCACCTAAGGACTCGTCATGGTAGATTTCATTCACCTGCAAAAGAGTGTGGATATTTTTAATAATGATTCTGTCAATAAGTAATCACAGTAGCAATGATAAAACACAAGCTTTTTATATGTTGTGTCTTTAAGATACAGATCAACCACACTCATTTGTAAAAAAGGGGCATTTTCACTACCCAAAAGAGAACTTTTTCTCTCTGAACTACAGGGCTCTACCATAAAGGCTCCATATAGGCATCAAATCAGGAACCATCTTTGTTCAGGAACCAATTAAAGTCAATGAAACTTAAAGTGCTTCCCTAAATCATGGACTAAATAACTAAAATACTCTCAAGGGTGATATCCTTATAAAACAGTCAGTCAAATGGGTTGTTTTTATTGTGTCAAAATTGATTAATTTCAAACCATACAAGCATAACAAAATCTGTAAAATACTAACATAGAAAACAGGGGTTTTTGTATTATACATACATAATCACACATGCACACAGGCAAACTATTCTAAGAACACTGAAGACAACGCTATGAATATTATAATGGAGAACGAAATACAGAAGTCCAAGGAATACAGAAAAAATAATACTATAAGCAAGTTGGGCAAAATATTAGCTATTAAAAGAGCTGATTGGGGTCATCTATGATGAGAGGAGTGAAAGAAGGCCAACTTAGGGTCTTATAAATATGTTTGGTTTTTTGCTTTACAAATTAGAATAAGTAGATAAATAAATATCTGCAAGGCAAATATATTCCCTGCTCCCTTCCCTTCAGATCATTAGCACCCCTACTAAATCATGGGCCAAAAGTGGACTATTTTATGTGTGGGACATAAAGAATCGCTTATATTTCATGGTTTGTTTCTGACATAAGAAACATATTCACTGGGATAAGTTATTAAGCTTCTGGAGAGTTGTTTATTAAAAACAATATCAATACACTCCTATTTTTTCCAATATACCTTTGTCCCAAAGGGACCATATAAAATATAACTCACTTCTGATCTAGCTGTAAAAATCATGTACTGTCTACTTTATAAACATTTCTTTGACTGTTATTTGAATGTATTTTAATACATTTGGTATAGATTTTCAAAAATATGAGTCTAAATTTGCTTCTAAATTCACATTTGGGCATCTAAAAAGAGGCCTGATTTTCAAAAGTAGTGAGCACCTGCAGTTCCCAATGAAGGCAGTGACAGCTACTTAGTCCTTGGTGCTTTTGAAAATTAGGTCAATTATTTAGATGCCTAAATGTGAATTTAGAACCCTAACTTTAGGCTCCTATATTTGAAATATCTTTATCTTTCCTCTCAGGGACTTTTGAAAAGGCAGATTAACATACTGAAGGATTTACATATACACTTTTGTTTAAAATAAATTATGTGTTTAAAGGAAAGTTTTATGCCGACAAGGACATTTCATTGTGTTCTTTACTAGATGCCCCACACACTCAAGGGAATTATCATCTTGATGCAGGGCTGCTAATTTGCCTGATTCTATGTGCATTGGGATAAGAATATATGCTCATTGATAACAAGCTGAAATTTGCAGTAACTTAAATATACATAAAATAAACACTGAATAAAATCTTCTGTGTATAGGAAATAATAAGTGTGACGTGTAACTAAGTGTTTTATTAGTTCATGAGGCATAACCCCAATTCTTACACGCTCCTTTCCCATTAGCCTTCAGAACTTAACCTCAGCCTTTTTTAACAATAGTGAAATACATCAACTGTATCATTACTACATGCCAAATTAAAACTTGGCAGGGAAATGTTAACAGAACGGCATTGAAACATTGTTACACAGTTCACGCAACTGACATCTAACAAACACATTTTGTGAATGAATAGAAAAGCATAAACATTGTAAAGGTTCGTTGGCATCTGGGTAGTAGGTTTTCTCTCAGACATAGGGCCAAATCAAAGCCCTGGATCCTAACGTCACATCTAGGGATTGATTCAGCTCCAATGCAATACTCCTTCTGTGGGAGCTGGACCTGCTGTCTCTTTCACTGGGTGAAACTGTGGCTGTATAAAGTAGCACTTTGTTATGGTGCTCTATGAGCACCCTAGGAAACAGATTGAGAGTCAGATTTTGATTCTTTTAATGTTATATTTTATCATAATTTTAAATGGAATATAAAATAATTTTCAAAACAATAAGTTACTTCCAAAAATATATTAAAATGCTCCATTCCGATAAGGTTGAAACTTTTTTTTAAAACAAAATTTCATCAAAATCTACACGGAAAGTTTTGATTTTGACAAAATGGCATTTTCCAATGGAAAAATATTCTGACAGAAATTTCCTGACTAGCTCTACTATTAATCATTTCTTTGCATTGCATTTCCTTGGTTATTTAAAATGGGGGGAAAGCATATGACAACACACTGAAATAGATTCACACTTATTTCTACGTGTGATGTGAATGGCATCTGTTTGTTTCAATGTGCTATTCGAGAAAGGAGAGCCAAGTGACTGAGCTCTGAAATGGATGTGCTCAAATGTACATGAGAATTACACTTTGAAACAGAAAATTACCAGTAGAATGCTCCAGATCTGTGGTGTCTTTCCTCAAACATATAACTTCTGCCTTACAAGCAGATCTACTTACTTCAATGTACAGATAGCCCGATACAAAAAAAATGCATGCGTCTAGAGTAAGGGATGTGGAGCTGATTCTGATTTCATCCTAATTATTCAGCAGTGTAACTCCAGTTACTTCAGTGGTGATGCCCCTGGTTTATACCACTCTAAGAGATATCAGAATGGAGCTTCCTGTTTGTCCTTAATCCGTGAGGGTCAGATTCTAATGTTATGCTGGTACACAGGAAAGCAGAGCACACAAAAAGGCTCTCAGAACTGCAGCTCCTGCACTCTGGGAAGGGCAGATTTTGCATCAAGTCTCATGAGATGTCACATGGTGATTCAGCATTTACAGAAGGTGACTAGTAGGGCTGGGGGAATCTAAAAGAGTTAAAGGTTTGGAGAAGTATTTTGGGGGTTGGCAAAATTATTGTAGATCACAGACCATTTTTTCCTGTAATTTAATTCCATGGTTTATTTTCAAGGTGTTTTAATTAAAAACGATGCTATTCTATCTAAATGCAAGCCTTGTGCTCTGTACTGGGATAAAGACTGTTCCCCTTGAAAGTTAGGCTGACACAAGTTGGTGCACTACATGAGATATATTGACTGTGTTTATTTTTGCATCAGAATTTCCCCACCTCCTTTTTCAGTTTCTCTTAAGCAAACTTGAACCCGACACTGTAACCAAGTACAATGCAAACAAGCCATGCAGTTGTGAGTAGGGTTAACATCTTTCCAAAAGAGGACACTGCTGGAGGGGGGTACAGTTGGAGGGTGCTGGAGGGGTATTTGGAGTGTGCTGGAGGGGTGTGTGTGGACTGGGAGGGAGTATTTTGGAGGTGGAGGGGGTATTTGGGAGGTGCTGAGGGGTGTATGTGTACTGGGAGGGGTACCTGGAGGGTGCCAGAGGGCCTCACTCTTGAGGTAGGGGGCAGTGTCGCTCCCTGTCAAAGTGGCAGGGCAGCTGGTGCAGGCCCAGGACGCAGTGCCAGCCATCAATCAGCGCCTCCCTGCCTCTCCCCATCCCAGTCTTGGGAGCCAGGGCTTGGGTGGGCAGGATCCGGCAGCTGCGGGTGCAGGGAGGGACCCATTGGGATGCAGAACCAGCTCTTTCTGCTACGTCTGCTTCAGAAAAATCCTGGACATTTCCTCTAATTAGAAAAATCCGCTTGGACAGAGGATCAGAGGAAATGTCTTGGAAAACCTGGACATATGATAACCCTAGTTGTGAGGGATGCATTATGCTTTGTGTATATTAAGTTTGAGAAACATTAATGTGTTTTTAAAGTGCCTGCCACAATGGGGCCCTGATCATGGCTGGGGCTTTTGGGCATTATTACAATACAAATAATAATAATAATAGCCCTGTACTTTTGCAGGTGTCATCAGAGGTAAGTTACCTGCAGATAAATTTGACAGGATCTGCAAAAAACGGTGAGTGGTTTTCTGTATTAGGCCACTCTTACTAAAAGCAACCACAGTGAGGAAAAAGTCACAGGCAGACTCATTTATGCAGTTGTATGAAGTTTCCTGGTGTAGGATCTTTATTAATGCTTGTTATGCAACGGGGAGCCTGCTTTATTAAAAGTCACTGCTTCTGATTTCAGAGGTAGCAACGGTCATGTAATAAACAATGTGACTATTAGCCCTGTTCTGCTGTAAGCCATTTCAAACTGAGTTTTGAAGTATGCCCTTTGTCGTACAGGTACAATATGACACAATTGTATAACCGCTGCTTCCTCAAACTCATTTAACGTAGGCCACTAAGAGCCCTCAGTCACAATCTCTAGCTACAAGCAACCTGAACTGGATGTGAATCAGCTACACAGGCTATCAAAGCTCATGAACCTCAGCCATTCTTAGGGCACAATGCAAGACACAGCTTGTTCAAATGGCTTTTCAGCTACCGCAATTTGTTGATCCATCCAGTCCACTCAAACATTTTTATGATAACTGAAAAGATACAAAAACCTCTTATTGCTGAAGTTTTCCGTACCCATTATCTCTTGGGGACTGGGCAAAGGCCTGGGGGAAAGGGGAGAGAGAGGTTAGATAGACTCGTAGACAGTCAGAAGGGACCATCATGATCATCTAGTCTGACCTCCTGCACATTGTAGGCCACAGAACCTCGCCCCCCTCTTCCCCATTCCTGTAATAGACCCCTAACCTCCGGCTGAGTTACTGAAGTCCTCAAATCATGATTTAAAGATGTCAGTGCTGTATCAGTTGCAGTGGGGAGGTTGCCTTCTGCTCCATGCTCTTCCTCAGGTGGGACATCAGAACTCCTATCAAGCCATTTTTAGGACACTGAGATGTAGCTGATTCATCTGGCTTTTCAGTTGTATGGTTGTTGCCAACAGCAGACATGGAATGGCTGGGGGGGCAATCCATTTATTGCCTATTTCGGTACAGCATTAATGCCTGTTTTTAACTTTGTAATG